CAAGTTCTTTTTATTTTAGGTTAATTTTTCTTATAAGAGCAACTAATAGCTAAATACAGGTAACAATTAAAAAATTTTAATTTACATCATCATGAACCAAAAAAAGATTTAATCCCTATAAAAACATTTTTCATTTATACTTAGCACCTTCTCTTGTGTGTTTCCATTCTTTTTCTTTTCCTTTCAAAGCGTACTCATTTTAATCTGGAAAGAACATGTTTGACAGGTACCTTACAAAACTAATCAAAAGGACTATTGGGGGCAGCTAGGTGGCGCAGTGGAAAAAGCACCGGCTCAGGATTCAGGAGGACCTGAGTTCAAATCCGGCCTCAGACACATAACACTTACTAGCTGTGTGACCCTGAGCAAGTCACTTAACCCCACTGCTAAACAACAACAACAACAACAAAAAGGACTATAAACTAAGAAGAATGGGAGGAGAATTAGAAGACTGCCTTCAAATAAGATACTATAGAAAGCTGCGAGAAAGAAGAACTGCACCTGAGACACTCAGAAATCCACAGGACACAAATTCCAAGAAAGGAGTCAGTAGCAAAACTTATGGCCTTAAATGTCTATACACAAATGCACAAAGTTCAGGCAACAAAAAAGAGATATATAACCTTTCTTAAATAAGGAAGTAAATCTGACTTCATAGGTGTCACTGAAACTTGGTAAGATAAAACATGACTGGACTATGGCCCTAGATGAGTATATCTTATTCAAAAGAAAGCAGTAAAATGGGGTGACAGTTGGGCTAGCACTATATATTAAGAATGCATACTCATCTATTGAAATCCAGGAACCATAGGAGATAAAAATGGCAAAGGTATTTGAGGGAAGGTGGAAGGAGGGAGAAACAAAACTGATGTGCCAGATCTTGTCATTTCTACCTTCACAACATCTCTCCTATACATCCTCTTCCCTCTATTCATCTATCCACCAATAGAGATTAGGCCCTTGTAAGTAAGGTGAATTTTAGTGTATGTAAGGAGGATTTTGTTATTCTTTTTAGATAATAGTTCCCAGATCCTAGACAATATTTCCCATGAATTATGGTTGAAAACATCTCCACCATGGTGAGATATAGAGATGACATAACGTATACCTGCACTGTGATAGGTCCTGACGATATTGCTAAACTGGTCAGTGAGTGGGGAACCCATTTTGGGATTTGGGTAATACATAGAGGAATCCATGTACCTGCTTTGATCGGCCCCCCATCAATGCTGGGGGGGAATCTGTGTGTTTGCCTCAACCAGCCTCCACTGAGGCTTAGGGGATCTTGAAGGAGTTATACTCCTATTCTCACCTGCCCTTGCAAGAAGTGTGATTACGGAATGCTGTACAAGTTGGTGCTCCCACTATCAACAACTCTTTTTCGAGAACACTAGACTAGAATAAAGTAAGCTTATTTATAACCTCTTCAAAGCTATCTTCCTGTCTGACCAGATCAAAAGTAAACCTGTGCTAGAACACTTGTTAGTGTTAAGAGCCCCCTGTGTTCTCCTGCCCACAAATGGTATTACCTAGGTGTTTACATGTGAAAATAGCCCTCATCACCTTTCTCTTGGACTATTTCAAGGCTTCTCATCAATCTCCTTGTCTCATCTCTCCAAATACCAATACATCTTCCAATCATATGCCAAAACGATTTTCCTAAAATTTGTCTATCCATGTTCCTCTCCTACTCAATAAATTCCATTGGCTCCCTATTACCTCTTGGATCAAATATGAAGTCCTCTATTTGGCATTTGAAACTCATAAGTTGGCCCATTCCTACCTTTCTAGGTTTCTTACACTATTCCTCCCATCCCTCTTATACCATACTCAATTCCTTCTCCTGTTTCCATGCCTTTTCACTAGCTGTTTCTCATTCACTGGAATGCTCTTACTCTTCACCTCCTTCCCTGGTTTCTTTCAAATCTTATTTTCTATAGGAAGCCTTTCCTGGTCTCCCTAGTGGCTAGTGACTTCCCCTTTGAGATTACATTTTATCTACTAGTAGATAGATAGATAGATAGATAGATAGATAGATAGATAGATAGATAGATAGATCGATCGATCTTGCATTTACTCGTTATTTGGATGTTTTCATCATTTTGAATGTGAGCTTCTTGAAGTCAGGGACTACTGTTATTTTTCCTTGTAATACTCAATGTTTAGCATAGTGTCTGGCACAGACTAAGTACTTAAAATGCTTTACTTTATTTATTTGCTGATTAACTGAAGTATACTGAAGCTCAACTGAACAGAAAGACGTAATAGATAAGGAGTTTGGGAAACATCATAATCTGCTTTGGGACTTGAATTGTCCAGATATCTGCTGGAGCTCTGCCAAAAGCAGAACAGCTAACCATGCCTTGGTTTGCCTCAGTGATAACATCATCCTACAATGGAAATGACGAGAAACTTGGGGTAAGCAGATTTCAAAGAATGGAGAGGAAAGAGTGGTAGGATCCAATGCAGTAAAATATTTAAGGGAAGTCAGCCTAAGAGGGGTAGAAGAAACTTAAGAATGAAATTCTGAAGGCAAACAGAGAAAACAATCCCAATGAAGAAACAGAGAATCTGTCCAAAGAAACCAATATCAATGCATAGGGAATTTACCAACTATTTTAAATTTTTTAAAAAAATGTACAGGAGAGCAGGACCAGGTAAAAGGATGGCAGGGTTCTAAACAATGTCAGGAACACTAATGTACAAAATGAGCTAGGGTTGGGGAAGGAAGCTAAGTTGAAAACAAAAAGGACTTAATTTTTAAGTTATAGTGGGAGAAAAAGGATCAAAGAAAGGATAGGACCTTTGCTGGAGGTGGAAACAGCTGTTTCATTCTTAATTTGTCTCAACTGCAAAGAAGGATGAGCTGTACCAGGAAATGACAGAATATAATAACAGACAAGGGAGTTGAAACCCAAGATAAATAAAGACATAGAACCCCAAGTTGCTTTTGATTAATTCAAGTCACCTGACCCAAATGAATGACATCTTCAGGTATAACTCCTGAGCCAAGGTCTGTGACATTTGCAAAGTCACTGAAAACAGGAGTGGTATTGATGGGGTGATGGGACCTGGACCCCTAAAAGGAAAAGACCATGTCTTTGAAAGCAACCCAGCCCCTGAATTTTCCCATACATTTCAGCAGCTCACATCATTGGTGCATCCACCCAAGGCAACTGGCCCACCCCAGCTCACTAAATCAACTAATTAGCTTACCTGATGTTCCTTTCACTGTTGTTCTTGGCCCACCCCAGACTACTTACCACTACTTAAACCCATTCAGATCCTTTCCTGGTCCTTTTTGTATATAAGCATCAGTCTCACCCCCTTTAAGTTGCAGATTCTCCTATGAATCTCACCAGCTTCAATTGGCATTACATACATTTGTCACTTGACTGGAAAATTGTTTGAGTGCATAATTCATCCTGTACCCTGACATTTTAGGGTTCCCAGCAACCCCAAACCACATCAGTAACACAGGACTAGAGGAAAAATTTTGCCCCAATTTAAAAAAATAAAGCCTCTAAGCTTTACTTCAACTCATAAGAAAATTTTAGAATGGCCCATTCAAGAGATGGCTGCCAAACATTTAAAAAGGGGAACAACAAGCCAGCATGGTTTCATCAAGAATAGGTCAGGCTTTGTTGACTAACCCCCATTTCCTTTTCTGATAAGATTCCTAAACTGGTAGATGAAGGGAATAATGTGGATATAGGTTACTAGGATTTTGGCAATATTTTTGACACTACTCTTGTGGAGAATATTGAGAGATATGGATTAGATGAGTTCAGAACTGACTGGATAGCCAGATCAAAGAGTAGCTATTAATGGCTCAAAATAGCAGGTCTCCAGCAGAATAACCCAAGTATCTGTGCTTGGTCCTCTGTTGAATAACATTTTTTAGTGATCTAAACAAAGGCATAGATGATATACTCATCAACATACAGATGACATTAGGCTGGGAAGGATAGCTAGCTAAATCAGGATATAAAACGGCTATTAACAGGGGCTGAACTTAATGAGATTAAATTCAGTAAGGATAAATGTGAAGTACTTCCGGAGTATAAACAATGGAGGGATGGATAGCAATTGTTATGAAAAAAGATCTGGGCTTTTATAATAGAATACAAGCTCCATATCAGTGAGCAGAGTGAGGTAACAGCTAAAATGGTTTAACTGATCTTGGGCTGCAGTAACGAGGGGTCTAGCTTCCAGGAATAGGGAAATGACAGTCTCACCATACTCTGCCTTCCTTGGGCCTCATCTAAAGTACTGTGTTTAGTTTGGAGAACCACAGTTTTGGAAGGAGATTGATAAGCTGATGAGGGCAAACAGAACAGTAAAGAGCCTTGAGTCTATTCTATGTTACAGATTTGTTGAAGGAACTGGAAATATTTATTCCAGAGAGGATTTGGATGTCTTCAAATATGTGAAAGTTATCACGTTGAGGGGGAATTAGACTGGTTCTGTTTGGCCCCAGACAGCAGAATCAGAAACAGTAGGTGAAAGTTATAAGGAAGCAAAGTTAAGCTTGGTGTCAGGAAAAAATTTCCTAACAATTAGAACTTTTAATAAGTCGATTAGTTTGCCTTGAGAGGAAGGGAGGTCCCTTCCTTAGAGGTCTTCAGGCAGAGGTTGAATGACCTCATCAGGTGTGTTCTACTGGAGATTCCTTTCATGGATGGGTTGGACTAGAATTCAGAGGTGAGGAACCTGCAGCCTTGAGGCCAATGTGGCCTTCTAGGTCCTTGGGTGCAGTCTTTTGACTGAGTCCAAGTTTTACAGAACAAATCCTTTTATTGAGGAGATTTGTACTGTGAAGTTTGAATTCAGTTATAGGGCCACACTTGAGGACCTAAGAGGGCCACATGTGGCCTTGAGGGCACAGATTCCCCACCCCTGAACTACTCTAAAGTTCCTTCTAATTCACAGATTCTGCGATTAAAGGAAAAAGCATGAGACAGAAAAGTCAAGAATTTCAAATTCTGGTATTAGCTCACCTATCAGTTGAATCGTCTTGGACGTGCTCTCTTTGGACCTCTTTTGTGAAGCAAAAAATGGGATTATGGAATTCAGAGCTGAAGGGAATAACAAACAGGGAGTTGAAACCCAAGACAAATAAAGGGATAGTAAGAACTCGAAGTTGCTTTTAATGATTTCAATTCATCTGACCCAGATAAATGACATCCTCAGGTTCCCCACCCCAATATGATAAAAATAACTCTTATCTAGATCTAAAACTTTTGTTTATTGACAAAGAAACCAAGGTCCAGAAAGATGAAGGGACTTGTCCAAAGGATCTCAGGGTCTGTCTCATACAATCCTGTTGTTTTATGGATGTGGAAACTGAGACAAAGGGAGGTTAAATAACTTCCTCAAGGTCACATGGATAGAAAGCATCTGATGTAGGAGTTGATTCTAGGTCCTCTGACTCTAGAGTCAGTGCTCTTTCTATTCAGCCAAAGGTTGAATTAGATCTCAAAGTTTCCTACAAGATCTAGTTTTTTCATATAAATTTTAGTAACTTTTGTACTGGGTTGGAGTTAATCTATACCTGAATTGTATGCATGCATATCCATGGTGAGTTTTTTGGTTGCTATTTTGTCCACACACGTGAAAAAAGTCTCTGCAGATGGAGATTAGATTAATAGCAAAATGTCAGAATTGTTTTCTGCAAGGTAAATTATATTACTCCATATTCACTACTCTTTCTAAAAGAACACAGAAGAAAGGAGATGCAATGCCTTTTTGAGTTTCGTGCATGCAGTAGGTCCTTTCTATATATTTGCTATTGATAAGCACCTGATCAGTGGGGATAAGGAAGGAGGAACATACCTGGTATAGCATCATAAAACTTATTAGCAATAGCTTTTTAGTTATATCATGTAACCTGCAGGCAAATGGAAAGCTGCCAATAGCAAAACATATCTACACATTTTTTAATCTCAGAAGAATGCCATTTATGTTTTTCTGAACCTAATTTTCACACTAGGGCAGCACAGCTCTGTGAGGTCGGGCGGAATGACTTGGGCTTGAGTCCTATTATGGCTGTGGCACTTAAGTAACTGTGAAAACTTGGGCATATCACAGCAAATCTCAAAGCCCCATTTGTTAATAGGAATGACAGTTCTAACTTATTTTAAAAGGTCATTGTGAGGGCTAAATGATATAATGTATTTAAATACTTGATAAACTGTCAAGAACTATACAAATATAAGCTATTACTCTTATTATCACGTCAAGTTTTTGGTGATATATTAATTGATAGAAATATTTCCTTCTATATTTTAATTAAAGATCTTTATAAGTATGCTTTCTTGATACAGAATTTCTATATGAATCTATTTTTCAACTGAATATATGAGGAGCATTAGTTCAAAGGGCATTGACACTAAATTTATGTGCAACAAGTTATCTCAAACACACATCAGCTATTGTAACAAAATACATGGAAAGGCACACTGAAAAATGGTACTCTAGCACAGATCATTTTTATTATTTACTAAATTAAAAAATACAAATATCTTATTACAAAAATGTTTATCAAACAACTGTGTACGTAAGTACTGTCAAAGACTGACCATTAGTTTATAACATTATGTACATTTGGCTAACATTTATGAGACACATACAGAGTGACAATTTTGTTAATAATGGACTTCGGAGGTCAAATATTTTAAAATTTGGCAACTGTTACGTAGTAATCTGCACAGAAAGACATTCTGAGAGGCAAAGAATATGATAAATTGAACTATGCAGATTCTATTCTTGCCATAAGTTTCAATAACTACATTTTCCCCCATTTCCTCAAGTCTCATTATAATAAAAAGTAAAGTGCACAGAAACAACAAGAATACTAATTTTGGTCACATTATTTATACTACAGCCACAAAAAGTGTGCTGTCATATTCAGGGTTCTGACTTTGTTCATTGTTCCTGGGGCTTTGAAAATTAAATCTGAATATGTGAAGGGAAGAAAACCAAGACTTTCTAAATCACATTAAATGGACTTAAAGCTAAAGGAAAAAATATTCTTTTGAGAACATGGACCTAAAAAAATTTCACTGTCTTTGTTTTGTACTAAATATAGAATTAGCATAAAGGCATATTTTTACCTCTGAAAAAGTTTACTGAGAATCTCTTTCAAAAAAGGCAATAGACCAGACAAGTACAGCATATGCCACAATACTGTCAGTTATTGATTATCACTTACATACTGCAGCATTAATACCAGGCATTCGTGACCTCCATAGGCCATAAATAGTACAGGTAGAAGCAATGTTTTTATTCCTTGACACTAAGTTTTCTAATTAATATCAAGTGTAATCTGGGAAAAAATGTCATTGCTACACTATTATGGAGGAAGAATGCTGGTAGTCTAGGCAAGTGCTCCTTTTAGGAATTTTAACCCAATAGCTTAATTTAAGGAAAATAAATACTAAAGTAAGGCCATTGATGCAAGATTAGCTATTAGGTCTTCCCCCTCCCCCAACAAGTGTGTGCACATGCTTATGTGCTTATAGTTTTGATTCTGATTTAACAATATATATCTTATTACAAACCACCTACATGTTTTATCAGGCTTATTTACAAATACACAATGAATTACACGGACATGAAAAACTAAATAAATTGTAGGAAAAAAATGTAGCAGTTTTAACAACCCCACACAGTACACAGAAGAAAAGCCAAATTTGCATAATTGTTAACCAAACAAAAAGGTTTAGTCATAAAACACCTGCCATATTTTGGAAGGCCATTCTTCATATACTAGGTGTTGGACCCAACTTGGAGGTAAAATATCTTGGTCATCATGATTACATTTTTCTCAGCATTAAAAAAAGAAAAAATATATATATATATATCAATATGAAGTGTACATATAATACTACCTACAAATATGAATACTCTCATAATGTTATGAGATGTAAAAATTATTAAATATATTTTCACTCCCATGGCACACCACACTTGGTAACACTAATACAGGTAAGTTTAGTTAACAATTGATAGTGATTATGAATGTTTTATTGAATATTTTCCTTTCTGTAGCTGGGAAATATAAAGTTTAGATTTGCTTCCATCAGATCTCTTAAACCAAACTTCATCATGGTTAATTGTTGTAATTATGGCACTAAAAGAAAAAGGAAAAGAAAGAATTAACCTTGGAACTAACCAAGCTATTAGAGTATTTGCAACAGAAATTACCTTACCAAGGTTTTGACTATGTCCTCAAAAATGAAATTAACAGAAATGTAACAGAGTTAACTGACCATCATAACTACCAAATCAAATATTCAAACACAAGACTGTCAAAAATACCAGACAGATCAGCAGATTAAGTCATACCACAGAAGTGGAGAGTGGCCTCTTAATTACTAAACTTACTTTTCATCAGATATAAATGTACAGGTGAAAATAATAACAAAAATTTCTTTCGCCTGTAAGGGTTGCAATAAAAGATAGAAAGGAATTGGGTGTTACCAAAAAGGTATTATCCACTTTGCTCACAAGGTCACTGTATATGGATGGTGTTCCTCACATTAACCTAAATTTCCAATGTCAATTCAGACCTGGATCACATTTTATAGGCAGAAAAAGCAAAGTGAACTTTACTATGGTATAGTGATACCATACCATGTGATGCACCTTATCACAGACTTCTTGAAGTATTTTGATAGTAACTACTGACATTTTTATGTGTCAAGGATCTATGATTTCTCCCACTACCAACAAGTAGATCACAACTTCTCTAGAACTTTAGGTCTTAAGAGAGTTACTGGAGGCTCATAGATGTAAATGGATTTGCCCACTTCCACAGTTAGAAGGTGTCACAAGTGTAATTTGAACTCAGATCTTCCTGACTCCAAGTCCAATACTCTATATACTACATCTTGCTAACTTTACTACCTCCTGCTGACTTTTCAGCATCTTCATAGGAACAGAAAAAGAAATTGATTTTAATATTGTGCCTCTTTCTCCTTTTCATGGTGATGCTAAGAAGTTAGGCAACAAGACTTTAAAATGTTACTAGTTAGACTAATTTTTATTACTTCATTAGTTGTTGACTATAATTGCCCCAGAACTTCCTAAAACAGAAATACAGAACTGCCAATAAAACTATGGTGGCAAATCAGCAGAAATCTGTGATGGGTCAGTTTAGCTGATATTACACTAAATCAGATGGGGCAGCTAGGTGGCGCAGTGGATAGAGCACCGGCCCTGGATTCAGGAGGACCTGAGTTCAAATCCAGCCTCGGACACATAACACTTACTAGCTGTGTGACCCTGGGCAAGTCACTTAACCTCACTGCCTAGCAAAAACAAAAAAACACTAAATCAGAAAAACAGTATCTTCCAAAAATTAATCAGTAGGATCAATTACCAACCCATACAATGACAGCACTTCCTTATGTCTACATAATGTTGATATATGCATTAACGTTAACTTATTTTTTTAATTGCTGATCAAATTTTACATCATAAAAGAGAGAAGGAGCTAGATTTAAGCTTTATGAAGAACATGAAAATTCAGCAACATATATACATTTGGGGGCACTCAAGTATGTGTTATTAGAAATGACAAGTTACAATATTGTGAATTTCTAGAGCAGTGGTGGGGAACATGCAGCCTTGAGGCCACATGTGGCCCTCTAGGTCCTTGGGTGCAGCCTTTTATTAAAGGGATTTGTTCTGTGAAGTTTGGATTCAGTCAAGGGGCCTCACCTGAAGACTTAGAGGGCCACATATGGCTTCAAGTTCCCCACCCCTGGTCTAGAGGATTCCTGACTAAATTTAAGGTGAAATGTAAAAATAAGAGATTTTTTTTAAAAAACCTGTTTTTTACCTTGTAGGGCATTCATCTTTCTTATCAATACATATTGTCTGTCCACGTATATACCATTCACCATCATAATACAATCTTCCCTCTTCAGACTTAGCACTGTGCAGGTGTTTTTCCAATTTCACAGGTGCTAAAGGGATCAGTTGAAAAACTGTTATATTAATAAAATATTGTCAGAATAATAAAAGTGTCAGAACATTAAGGTTTAATTTTCAAACACTACATGCACTAATTTGTTCATCCTTGTATACATACAATGTGTTAGAATATCCATTTATATTTTCTGTAGCTATTTCTACAATTCTTTACAGTACGGGTATCTAGGAAAATTTTTTTTGATGTTTTCTAGTATTGATTAATTTAGTTTCAACAATGAACAATTTTTTAAAAAGACAAAATACGCCAAGAATAAAAGAGAGAAAACAAAAGAGACTTTACCTAATTGTAAGTGCAAATTAAAAAGCAAGATTCAAAAACTGTGGCTGTCATCACTGGAAACCACATTCCCTTTCCCTCAAACTGTGAAAACAGATATATGTTATAATACCTACCATATCACCATTTTACCATATAATGAATGCCTCTGAAACTTTAAGGTGTGGCATTTAAAACATTCAGAAAAGCAGGGTGCTATAATGGGAGTTTCCATTTCCAAAATCCAGAACATGGTCTGGCAATAAACCTTACAGAGGCTCCTTGATAATCTTATTGGATTATCAAGGACATACTGTGGC